AGGGCGCAAATCTCATTGCGGCATTGGATATCACAAATATACAGAGTATGTATGTATGATGTACATACAGTACCTACGGCACTATTACCCAAGGTTGGTGATCTTGGAAATCCTCTAGGTTGATATTCGTGAGACCAGTTTTCTCCACAAACGACGGGGACATTTAGATCGGGTGACTTAATTATGCCAGGCAGCTAGGCACAGTATCGTATATACTAGTAGTATATACCCGAAACATTGGGTAAGGAAGATGGTGAAGAACTACTCCGTGCCAGGAGACGGAATCTTCTCCCTGACACAAAACCCAAGGACTCGGCATCGGTACGTCCGCGCCCGCGGGCACCGATATTTCCGGTCAATCGGTATATCGACGTTCCGAGACGCTGGATCGATTCACTCGAATTGTTACGGGCGCAAAGGTAATTAACAGTACTAACTATAGGGTAGGGGCTTAGTCCATGAACTCCATAGCGGGCATTCTAGGATAACGGATACTTTTGCCAATGCTCCAGGATCATACAAAATAGGGGAGAAGGGAGAAAGGAGAATTAATCATTTAGGTCCTGAGCGCTAATTACACAATTCAAACTCTTGAAATCTGTAACATAACATACTTCGTGAACGATGTTACTAAATATTACACCTTTGAGATATTCCATGTTCTTGAGTACTGACTCTTGTGGTCTCTTCATCGTGGTCTAGACACGGCACCATTTGCGAACCGATGTGGCAGGTAGGCATGTATCGCCCTTATCACTAACATAGGAAATTAATTGAGCGGTTCAACATGTATGTGCTCAGTATGGACGTACTATACATCCGTACGAATATGCCCCCTGTTCGCTTTCCAACCCACACTACTCATCCACCCCCATTCTACCTCATCAACCATTCGCTTAGATACGGCAAGTAGATCGTGGAGTACTCTATTGAGTTTATTTAAACCTGCAGGGCAGAGCCTCAAAGTGCGCTTTCATCTAAAGGCCTAAAACAATACAGCTTACCTCAAAACTCCACCTCAACAGGATGGATTCTCCATTGATGTTGTCAGGAGAGGGATACTTTTGGTAGGCACACGAGGGCCACACTACAATCCACTGAAACGGTACCAATTGCTATGTTGAACAGGTCAATTGAAGTAAATGGGTATTGGTGGATTATTCCTTCTCGGTTAATATATCACAGTGCATCCATCCATCTCGGGTGATTATGGCGTCGTAAAGGGGCTTCTGATATTAGCCTAAAGGCCCTTTTCTGCGGGGTACGGAGTAGTGCCCCTCGTTTATATTAATCTCCCCGTCCTGTTCAGTTGCGCCCATCAACTCACGCAATTTGCTACTAACTCCAAACGGGTACAAGGTGTCTTCAATAGGTACCATTAGGACAACTGATACACCAAAAATGGCCGATCAATCACCAGTTAAATTCACATCCTTGGGCGCAATCATCCAAGAGCTCAACGTGGATGGTCAAAACATCGTCCTGGGATTTACTAGGAAGGAACTCTACGAGAAATATAACACCCCTTGGTTTGGCGCGACCATTGGTCGCGTAGCCAACAGAATCAAGGATGCCAAGATCCAAAGTCTCAACAACCAGGAATATGAACTTGAGAAGAACAATGACCCTAACGCGTTGCATGGAGGTAGCCGTGGATGGGGCAGGCGGGACTTTGAGGGCCCTACTTTACTGCAGCGAAACGGGAAAGACACCTTACTTTATACCTATACGAGTCCCCATCTTGACGGAGGATACCCCGGCACGGTAGAAATTAAAGTCTTTTATACGGCAGGCAAAGAGGACAATCGTTCAGTGCTTTCGATCGAGTATGAGGTTGAATTGGTGGGTGATGAGTGTAACGAGACGATTGTCAACGTGACCAACCATAGGTATGTACCAGATGGGGACTTGGGACAGACGTGAAATGTAGTTGACTAAAGAAACGATGGAGCATTTTGCTAACGAGCTATATTCCTATAGTTACTTCAACCTCACAGGCGGCGAAACCGTTGATGGCACCTTGGCTAAGCTCTTGACTCAACACTATCTGCCGCTCGATAATACCGGCATCCCGTTTGGCAGGATCGACGTACATCCTAGTAAAGTCACTGAGCCATTCACGATCGGGCCGAAAAAGGAGGCTTTTGATGATGTCTTTGTTATGGATCGAGATGTCGCTAGGATCCCGTTGGACACGCGTGAGAGACCGCTCCAGCTGCTCGCAGAGTTCCACCACCCAGAGTCGCGTATCAACTTACAGGTACACAGCACTGAGCCTGCGTTTCAATTTTATACCGGCCAAGGAACCAATGTAGCTGCGGTTGACGGCAACCCGAGTCGAGGCCCGTTCTCCGGCTTCTGCATCGAACCCAGTCGTTTTGTCAATGCGATCAACGAACCGGATTGGCGGCATATGGTTGTCTTGAAGAAGGGCGACAAGTACGGAAGCAAGATCGTGTATAAGACTTGGAAAGACCCGCAATGAATTGCCAGTTCTAGAAGAATGTCATGCCACCGATGTGGGACCGATTGAAGGAGATTTTCCGCCTCTTCGGCGTTTGTAAAATCATTCGATTGTCACATGATGTGCCGATTACCCTTATCACCCATAAATGTCTCCGATGCATTTATCATCAAGCTCCCAGCAGTCGTACGCTCCACAGTAAATAGATACGTATATGGAATACCAGTGGAAGAAGCCTCGGCCTTGAATCAAGAGAATGCTCCACCAATGGGCTGGGAACAGAAAATTCATTTTTATTTTATTTTATTTTTTTTAAATTTTTTTTTTCTCTTGATTCGTTTTCCCTTGATGTCAAAAATTTGTCAGCGGTGCAGCGTATCACTCGCCATGTTGTATTTGCGCGAGAACGTCCTAATGGTTTATTTCTGCAGTAGGGAAAATCGCTCATCCTTCCAATTGCTCGACTGCCAAGAGTTTCTGGAATCAAGCTATTGTTTCTAGCGCCCCTGAGTATGCCTGCTATGTTTGTTGATCATCTCATAGTAGTTCGTTAGGGAATGGAGCAATTCCTGAACTTTATAGGCTATGGTGCGCTTGATAGAAACAATAGTTCAGATTATAACTGGCAGTATTGTATGTACATACAGTACATATATACATACATCAATCATGTGAAACCATCGGTATTACCAAGCACAGTACAGAGTAACTCTGTACACAGTACCAGCCACGGATCTGGGGGATGCCGTTTTTGACCGTGTAACGATACGTTTGCTCGAGCTTCGGACTCGGAACGGACAACAAAAACTTACCGACGGAGCTTGGCAGCGATGACTTCCAATAAGGGATGGTTTTCAGGTGTAGTATACCGTACAGTATAAGGTTCTCCTAAATCAGCACGTATCGCTCGGGGATTTTCGCAAAAGGTCGGATTTTGGTAAGGTACTAGTATGCTCTAAGATCAACTTTCGGTATATCCGTAACTCCGGCTACCTAGAAGGAGGTCCTTTGGCTTAAAATTCCTTCCCTTGTCCGAGACGCCAAGCCGGAGACGAGTACGAAGCAGATGCAACCACAAATAGAGTAAAGGAGATGCTAATCGCTTTGAAGTTTGGTCACAAGGTCGGGGCGCAGTTGATCTTTTCTGGAGGACGGACTTGGAGTACTAGTAGCTCTGGGAGCATTGTGGCTGATTTATGTTATAGAATCCATGCATATTAGCGTTGTTGTTTATTACCCCGCACTCTGTTCAGATTGCATTTATACAAGTTATGCATGTACAGTATGTATGGAGATGGAACGAAATACACATTAGCATGATTAAACTCAATCCTTCATTCACCACCATGCTATGCGCACTGTGCAATACCTATCTCCATGCAAATGAAAATGGAGCAATCATCTCGCCAGAAGATCAGTGCCCCTCGATCAAGTAGTATTCCTGTTGCCTACAGATGGGGGCAGTGCGACCCCACATAGCTCTTAGCATTGCCAGATGAAACAGCCTGTGAGATATGCAGTCTCGTTAAAGATGGCGGTGCTCTTGGAGGGAGCCTCCTTCGTATATTATACGAAATAATCCTAGAAGAACTGATGCTAGTAGGTGTCTGGGCGTCATATGCCTTCGTAACTTCGCAACTGACTTTCTTACCGATGCCCCATCATCACGGACTGTATTTGTACGGTACATACAAAATGAATATAGAATTGAAAGAAAAATATTGTTTCTTGGTAGTGACTGTTGAGATTGATAGATAGTCTTACGGGGCTCCTTGCACTCAGAGGGTAAGTAGCGCGAAGGGACCTATGGCTGAAGACAACCTATTCCTGGACTTCAACCTTCGCCCTGCGAGCTGGTAGACTGATATATACGGAACATACCTAATCCGCTTTCGACCATACCTTAATAGGCTTGGATGTACTCCGTATGTACATTCATCCATGATGCATAGACACACAACAAGGTGAACTACAGGTCAGCCCACCAAACCCCCCGGACCTCGGACCACCGGCGCCGATTTTCCGACAGTCATGTGACCTCACCCCACCGCCGGTTGGTTGAGCTTAGTACATTTTGTTACAGATATAAGTTAATCTTTACTATTACTACTATTACTGTCAGTAAATTATATATATTTAAACTAGTTCTCTATAAAATATTACTATCAGTAGATTATATATTCTTAAATTTTAATTTAAACTGGTTTAATAAAAACTTACAGAATATTTACAAAACAGAGAAATCTATTTTATTTAACCAGTGGGATAAGGTATTTAAAAAGCGTTAGTACGTGCTTCGGAAAATCGGCGCCGGTGGTCCGAGGCCCGGGGGGGTGGTGGGCTGACCATTTCTGCACAAGAATGACTTCAAGGGCTCCCGCACCACGTGACCGATCCGGAACGTCCCGATGGCCTGCCCCGCGTGGGGTTCGATATCCAACTTCCGCCTTATGCTTGATCGGATTCCCATCCTGCGTTAGAGATCCATAGCCTATCTCAATAAACATCCGCTTTTCAGGAAGACGCACACAAAACAATGGCTTCTGCCTATGGGGACTTCCGTCACTTGCTACCCAGCAGCTACAAACGCCTGATTACCTCCTGGCTCGAAGAGGACTGTCCCAGTTTTGACTATGGCGGTTTCGTCGTTGGGGAGTCAGACGGCGAAGCAAGGTTGTTGGGGAAAGCTAAGGTAACTCTCGCATTCCATAGATGCATGAGGGATATGTATCTCGCGAAATCCCTATCATTGAGTGCTAATCCATCCCCGTGTCCATAGGGAGTCGTTGCAGGTGTCCCCTTCGTCGAAGAAGTTTTCGCCCAGTTAGGATGCACGTGAGTCGATTCTACACGACGCAGGACCTAGCCTGTGCTATGCGATCAGTATCTAAATGATAGAAAAGCGTGGAATGGCACGTCCGAGAAGGCGAGCCCATTGAACCCATCAAACATTGCGCCACCGTGCGCGGGCCCATCCGCAAGATCCTCCTCGGAGAACGTGTCGCCCTCAATATCCTCGCCCGGTGTTCCGGTATCGCAACAAAAAGTGCCTCGCTAGTAGCTGCTCTCCGTACCCACGGATGGCGCGGAACACTTGCTGGCACCCGTAAAACCACGCCTGGATTCCGCGTGGTTGAAAAGTATGGAATCCTTGTTGGAGGCGCTGATCCACACCGCCATGACCTCAGTTCGATGACAATGCTAAAGGATAACCACGTCTGGGCTTGTGCAAATAACTGTGCGGCTAAGGATGGGGTGGGTCCTGCCTCGACCGAGTCTGTCGCGGCTGCTATACCTCGGGCGGTTCATGCAGCTAAGGTGGCTGGAGGCTTTGCGACCAAGGTAGAGGTTGAATGCCGAAGTGTCGAGGAGGCAAATGCGGCTATTGAGGCTGGGGCGGATGTGATCATGTTGGATAATTTCACTCCGGATGGTGTTCGCGAAGCAGCTAAGCAACTTAAGCAAGATTGGGCTGGCAAGAAGCAATCCTTCCTCATTGAAGTAAGTGGTGGGTTGAACGAGTCCAACGCTGCTTCGTATGCCTGCTCGGACGTCGACATTATTTCCACTAGCTCGATTCACCAGGGTGTCGGAATTGTGGACTTCTCTCTCAAGGTTTCGCTGCGGTGAACACTCGGCGATTGAGGTTTGGGCACGCGATAAGGAAATAGCTGGTTGACGACGCCATGTGTAGATGTGAATAGATAAAACCATGTATTTTTGTACTTTGTCCGTACGTCCCCACTCGGCCAAAAGCCAACACTGGTGGTTGGTCTAGCCTTCCATGTGATACAATATACCCCATACACACGGACACGATGCTTGTGTACCTATCACCACCCCCTACAATGCAAAGCATAACGATCGTTGAGTGGGTTGGATTCCACTCATATTGGCATAGTGGCCATGTGGCGTATTATTACACTAGAAGTACTTCTGGTCTAACTTCATACCGCCTGACTATGGCGTATACCTTATCAATCCTCCAAACTAAGTACGAAGGGCACTTTATAACCTAACTCCGTGTATTACCCCACCGAGTAGTGAATAATTCCGATGCAAATAGAAACATCTGTGGCGGGCAACATGAATCGGTTAGGGCATTAGAGGTTAAAAAACAAATTGAGAGCCGAAAGCGATGGGTATATAGTGTATGCAAGAATGAACACAGATGACCTGGGTAAACATGAAGTGAACTGGCTTGGCCTGCTCAGGGTAAAACAAAAAAGTCGCAAGGGGGTGCAAAACAAGCTTGAGAACAGGACAGGCATGGGTTCCAACAAGAACGGGCGAGAGAAATGAACAAGAAAAAGAAGAAAGATAAAGAATGAAAAAATATAGCTTAGAATGAAGGGAGAAAGATTTAGTAGGGGGCCAAAAGGGGACTTCCCTAAACCTCAATATCAACACATATCCCTTCTCCATCACTCGAGCTCGGGTCATCATCTCTGTGATTAACGTATCCGTCACCGGAGCCATGATCAGTCCCTTGAATTATCCTTAGATTTTGCCCTCGAGCCTGATCAGCGCTGTCATCAACAGAATAATCCGTTGACATGTCTTTGCGCACACGCTCCCTCTCTAGTTGGGCTCGAAGCCTTTGGTTTTCAGCATCTCGCTCTTCAAGTCGCTTGCGAGCCCCGTTACGATCTAGTAGGCGTGCTTCCCTTTCTTGCTTCAGTCTTTTCTCCAGTTCGTGCAACCGCTGAATCCATTTCTCACTATTCCCTTGGTCGCCTACCGCGCGTCTTGTGCGGGAACTATGCACCATGGTCCCAGCACCGTCGGCAAGTGTCGTGGTTGAAGAGACATGGGATGGTTGAGGTATACCGCTGGTTGAGCTCCGCGTCAAACCCCGAGAATTATGGGGGATGGCGGGCTTTTCAACCATGGAATTATGACGAACCAAGGAAGCTGGATCTACGTCTGCCCCGGATTCCATGCGTGGAGAGCTCGACCCCATCCCGGCAGGCCCGCGGCTGCGCGAGTGAGATTGTAGCAGATTCAGCTCAGCTTTCAACAACCGATTCTCCCCTCGAAGCTTGGCAATCTCTGGCGACAGGCCAGATTGACCCAGCCTATGTTGTTGGGCACGCATGTTCATCATTGATTCTTCTAAGCGATCCAGCTTTTTGATCCGTAAGCTCAAGGTGTGCTCGACGGCCTGATATTGCTTGGTAAGGTCACGTTCAACGCCCTTAATGCGATTCTTGAAGCCCGAGATCACATTCTCCAGCGTCTTCACAGCAAGCAAAAGATTGCGGCTGAAGCCCGGCCAGAACAGGATATTGCCTATGACTTCTTGACTTGGCAAGTTGCCGTTGATCAAGCTGTTAGAGTGGGCCCAGTCCGGTCCACACATCGCCGATAAACGTTTCCAGATCATAAGAAGCATTGTGTTCCGCTCATTTAGCTGATCCTTGAATTGTTGCTCAAGATTAGTAAACCGCTTGCGATCCTGACTGCGGGCATTTTCTAGCTCTGTGATGCGTGAATTGTTTTGAGTGATGGTCCGAGATGCTTGGTGGTGAGATTTAAGCGCCTGCTCAAACGATTGCTTATCGGCCCGACGAGAATGTCGCTCGCGTTCGAGAAGCTCAGCTAACTTCCGAGACTCCAGCCCATGACTCTCAAGTAGCGCATCGCGATTTCGTAATAGCGACTCGGTCTCGTCTAGTTTTGAGCGGGTACTTTCGAGTTCCCAAGCAGTCGATTCAAGATTCTTTTGAAGTTCCATGATCTTGGAAATCAAGCTAGAGCGACTACCAGTCAGATCACCTAAAGTCTCCCGAAGATTGTTCTCCAAATCCATGAGTCGCTCCCTCCAAGTATTAGTCTCGATTTCTTGAGCCGATAGACTCTTCTTGAGTTTCCGCGCCTCCTCCTTGGCAGCAGATGCTTCTCGATTCAACTCGTTGACGATTCGCTGAACTTCTTGTTTCTCCTTGCTTCCTACAACCTCTCGTTGATGCCGCTCTTCTGTAAGGCGCTCCTCAAGTTCTCTGGCCTTGTCCTTTTCGCTTTGAAGGCTCATATTGTATGTCTTTAATTCGGACTCCAGATCACCGATTCTGATCTTATCACCATCTTGCTCTTCTCGCAAGAATGCAATCTCGTTCTGACTCGATTCTATTTGAACAGTCAGTCGCTGGACCTTCGTATTTGCTTCAAAGAGGCTTTTCTCAAGAGATTCCATCTCTCGATTACAGTCCTCGAGTTCCTGTTGGACAGCTTTGTAACGCTGCATATTGTTTTGTGCGTCTTCTTCAAGCCGAATGATGCCTTCGCTGGCTGAACGCATCTCCGCCTGCAGCGCCCGGAGATTCTCATCTTGAATTTTCAACTCCTCCCCTAACCGTTGGCACTCTTCAGTCTTCTGATCAAGCTCCTCGCCAAGGGCATCCAGCTCATCTTGGGCCTCAGCCCTCAAGTCCTGGAAAGCCGCATTATGTTCATCCGCCATCAATAGTGCACGGTCACGTTCTTGCTCTAGGTTTTGCAGATCTTCTTGTAGTTTTTGCATTTCTTCCTCCGCTTGATCCATGTCAGCCTGATATGCCTTATCGAAAGCCTCAACTTCTTTGCCACGTTCTTGGTATGCTTTGTCAAGTGTTTCCAACTCTTTCTTGTACTCTTCCAACTCTCGCTTATACTCCTCCAGCTCCGTCCGAACAGCTTGATTATCAAGTTTCAGCGCAGAAACCTGATCACGCAACTGTCCATTCCGAACCTCCAGATCTTCTCGTTCCGCGTCATCGCCTGGGTATGGACCTGTTCTGTCACTCGCTCGAGAGGATGGTCTACCGTGAGCTCGAGATGCGGACCGATCAAAGATGCTGTCCCCAGCAATAGAGCGGCCACCGTCGCGCCGCTGGCCAAGCTTCAGCTCCTCGATCTCTTGGTAGAGACGTTCTTTTTCTCGATTTCGAGATGTAAGCATCGAGGTTTGAGCACTGACTTCTTTCCTCAACTCCGCATTCTCTTGTTTCAAGAGCTCCAATTCCATTACCAAAGTTGAACTAGAGGAGCTACTGGGGTTTGTATTGCGATTCAACTCTCTATCAGAGACAGCAGAGTACGAATTCATGGACTCTACCCGGTCACGCTGCGCTGGTCTTGTGGAGACTATTATTGAGCTCATTTCACTCTTAAGGCGTAGCGCATCGTCTCGTAGCCGTTTGTTCTCCTCCTCTGCTTGCTCTCGAGCAGCCGTCTCTGCTTCGAGCATATCTTTCCACATGTCCTATAACATTCAATTCAACACAAAGGCAACCAGAAACTTGGGGTTACCTGCACTTACCCTCTCTTCCCTTGCTCCTACATCCGAACCCATTGGCCTTCCATCATTAAGTGATTTGAGAATTTCTGCTAGTTTCCTCTTCTCGCTTTCCCTGGCAATACTTTCAGACCTTAGTCTCTCAATTTCGAGCTCGTAAACCTCCACTCTCTCCCGTAGAAATAGTATCTCTTCTTCCTGTGCTGGTTCACGACCATCGTCTTCAGATCCTTCAGGGTCGTGATTCACCATAGATTCCTTGTCAGACTGATGGTCTTTAAGTTGCTTCTCTAAATCACGGATTTTTCTTTTTAGAGTTTGGCTATCTTTCTGAAGTTTCAGTTTATCTGACTTTAGCTCAACATTCTCCGAAATCATCTCCTTTATTCCTTCCTCAGAGCGGCGATTCAAAGCCTCATTGAGAAAATGAATTCTCATCTTCAAGTCAAAGTTCTCTTTAGAGAGACGGTCGATTGTGCTGCTTTGCTCTTTGAGGGTCATGGACCGGCCACTCCTTGCAAAGGCTGGAGTGGCACCTGCACGCTTGTCCGGTGATAATCCGCGGCCAGCATAGTCTTCTCTAAATTGCTTCACAAATGTGCTTGGTACCTGGACATCTTTGACACGTTCTGCAATGGCCGTTTCTGTGGGAAAACTGATATCCTGCGCCTTCGCTTTGGGTGTCATTAGTCCGATAGTATCTTCAGCCAGAGGCTCCTCTTGGTTGCGTCCGCGCTTTTGCTGGGATGATCCGGGGCGTGACTGCAAAGGCGTTTCCTCCTCATTCAAGGTACCTAAGCCACTTTCTGTAGTGCTACTGGGATTTCTCTTATCGAGGAGATTTTCATCACTATACCCAGATATACCGGAAGCCATACTCCCTAGGCTCACTGATCTAGCCAGGTTGTTACGCTGCTCGTGTTGGACAGTACCAGCGTTACCTGGTACTGCACCTCCCGACTGAAGCGCGTAGTCGGCACCCAATGTTGCATCACTATTCGTCATTTCTGTATTGTTGCTTGTCACCGAGGAATAAGAGAGGCGATGGATTGACTGGCGGCTGGTCAGATATTTCGGTCTATTCCCTCTACGGCTGCTTGTGCGCGAGGTGGCCTCCACTTCATAGTTGATATTTTCGCTGAGATGCCCCGCCTGCGAGGGCGAAAGGCTCCGCAAATCCGTGCGAAAGTCCCGACGAGCTGGCTGTTGGGATTGATTCGAATTGGATACAGGTGGCCTATCCGTTGGCTCCTCATAAAATTGGTTAATCTGGCGACTGCCTTCAGATGCTGAAAACTGATTCCGATTTACGGTCCTAGCTGCCGCTTGTGCCGCGGGCGATGACTGCACCGCCTCTAAATCCTTCTCATTATTCTCCCGCCACTCGGAGGAGGGTGCAGGGGTACTCTCTGAGTCCACATTCATATCCGCCTCAGGCCTGTAACTGGGGGTTTGTGATATCGGAACACCATCATAGGTAGAAGTAATATCATAACTTGAGCTATCCGGTACCACGAAGGACGACTGAGCATGATCTGGTTTGTTGGATTCCGGGGCGCACTCGTCGACTCCAACCAGATAGGTATCGTCGGCACTCGAGTGCTGATTCCTTGGAACAATTTGAATCGTTGAGGGTTCCGGTAAGAAGCTTGACTCCATGTCCATCAACTTTCTTCGCATTTCTTTCTCCTCCATTAAAGTTTGATTGACCATGCGCTCGTGATCACCGTCATCGCTGGACAGGAGTAAAAGGCTGTTGTCATCATTATCGGGTAGCGGAGGTAGATTTAGGGAAGCATTCGAGTCGTCCAGATCCAGCTGCTCAACAACATGTGTAGATCGGTCGTCTCGTTTCGCATCGGCTGTTGTTCCGTCTTGTGTGTAGTAAGCTCCATCATCTACACCGGTTGTACTCGAGTTTGTTAGGGGATGTTCTCCCCGCGCGTCCCCCTCCATGATATCGGACGCGTAGAACCCGTCCTCCAGGGACGAAAGTTCGTTTCCAGTATCTAAGCTTCTTCTAACGGGCGAGGAAGACGGCGGTGGGAGCGCAGTTTCAATGGTATTGAGGATCTCGAATGAAGGAGATGGCAGTTGGACGGACCCTGTCGACATGGTGACGGAGTCTGGGCACCGTGTTTGTTTTCTCCACTTCCACCTTGAATCCCTTGGATCTTAATGGCGAAGGTCCGACTTTACTGACCCACTTAACTCGGTAGACTTAGCGTGATCACTTAAATTTAGACTCACGCCGGTCTTGCTTCAGGCCCAGCAACTCTGAAGTAAGTCTATTTCGTCTTTTGCCCTTTGGGATTATCTCGATAACTTAAAGCTCTGCTCAGAAAGAAAGAAAGAAAATGAGCCAGTGACTGTGGTGGAAGAGTACATTTATTCAGGAGAAGATCAGTAACCTTGAAAGGAACCAGTCATTTCCATATTCGCGACCAATCAGTCAGGTGATGTACCTTTCTCGAGCCGTTGCACGAATACCAGTATGTATAAAGAAGACAACCCCAAAAAAGGGTGTGTATGATTAAATTATAGATATCTATACTGGATATTTATTCACGCTACTTGGACTAGTAATACTGTATATATCCACACCAAGAAGATCCAAACCAAATGACGCTCGTAGTACCCATAACGTAAGTCTCGTAAAGGTTTCAAAAGGAAAGAAATTGCAGGATAAAGAAGCGGGAGAGGGAAAGTGCTTAAGAAAGGGAAATTCAATCATTAGCAGATGATGATAGAGAATGTTCAGTGCTGTATAAGAAAAGCACAAGACCATGATCAATAGTTGGGCAATCGCATGCACACGACTTCCTAAAATCCTTGAGTGACAGTTGAGGGAAGGCGTGCCATGTATTTTTTTATCTAGAGGATGAGCTCTCCTCGCGGGAAGCATATATCTTGTTTTTAAGGTCAAGTGCCCTTTGTAGAGTCTCAATATATGTGCGGAACTTCACGTTTTCTCGCAGCAAGTAAGATGATTTACGCTCCCAGTTGGCCATGGACTTCGTGGCATTCGGATGCCGGGGAGAAAAGGCCAGGACCATGGCCGGTCGGAGTTCATTATGTCGCTGTAGTTCATCCTCAACATTCTTGACATATGTCCGCAAAGCCTTCAGCTGGTCGGCTTCAGGTAAGTTTGAAGCGACCATACTCTGCTGAGGCGGCGCCCAGTCGCTGATGTGTACTCGATCGGCCGGAAGCCTGGGGCGTACGCCACCCTGCTGGTCAATAGAGCTCCGAATGGAACTTTGAATGCTAGGTCGTGCCCCAGACGAGGACGGCGGCGACCTGCTGCTGTTGTTGTTCTCCACCGTTATCAAGGCACTGTTGATGACTGCATCACTCCAGCCGTATTCCATATTGCTAACTCCACCAACCAAAGGCTCTTTGGACAACCTCGCACTCCAGTAATTAGCCGTAGAGACGAATTCATGGACAATCTCCGGGGTGCCAGCCTGGAAAAGGTGTACTGCGCCATTAGGTAGACTTAAAGCCCAGACGTGCGGGCGAGACTTAGAGTACCCGGGGGATGGAAGCACGCTTGCAAGGGTTTGACGTAGGAGAAACTTCCTTATCTCCTCGGCGTTCTCTGTCCAGTTTCCTCCCCCTACCACCACTCCACCATGTGAGTGAGTTTTCGACTTATGCCGAACTGACTTTGTCGACGAATTGAATGAAAACAGCCGCATCCAACCCTGCTGTATCACAGCGAAGCATTCGTTCCAATTTCGGTCCTTAGACCTCTTGTCAGCTGAATCTAGGTGTTGCTTATGCTTTAGGCTCCCTTCCTTGGCCCAAGGAGCACCCGCAAGTTGAAGAGTCTCGTCTTCCAGAAGTGGTACGGTTCCCTCGATCTCCTCGGTACTTGCGATGGAATAAGCAGAGTCCTCTCGGATTATCGCTTGACTCAGTGCATTAGCGAATCCAATAGATTGCTGATAGTCGCCACGCATATAGTCTGATCCGAATGAGTCTACCGAAGCAGATGTTAACTTCCCCAAAGATTGCTTACTCCAAGTACTGGAAGCAGACGGGCTCCAGAAAGATGACTGCTCCTCCAGGCTAGTTCGGCTGGAACCCATGACGGAAGGAGGATATAGTCTCGCCCGTGACCGGTTTTTGGAAGACCAGCGCGCGGTACCGTAGCGGGAGTCGGCTGAGCGGCCCCGTGGGTAGATGTCGGAGCCGCTCCTGCTCACAGTGCTGGGGCTTCTGCGCAAACCATTTGGATTAGGAGACAGTAAATGGTTCGATGAAGTTCGAGATGCCTCCCTCTCTACTTGAGCACCGTGGAGTGGGAGTCTCTGCTTCTGTATCGACGTATAAAAGTCCCTGAGAACGGTTTCAACTTGCTGGCCCCAGGCTTTGTCGGTTCCATTGAATGGCACATTGACCAATGGCCCTGTGTTAGTTTCAGGATCACCTGACAATTTGACGGAGAGATCAGTTCGAGAAAGTCGATTCACGAGCTTCACTGGCGCATTTGCGGGTTTATCAGCGGCCAGGATCCCATGATCGGACTCATCCATAGGCGATGTAAGAGATTCTCGGGCCGACACTTTCGATTTATTGTGAGCGGCATGAAGTGATTCAAACCCATCCGGAGCCGCGTCAAAGGCCACGCGATGTATAGTGGGCATTGTGTTTCGAACAAATTGGCTTTTTGTCATCTTCTGTTCAATATCTGCAAGGTGAAGGTCGGTGTTCAACAGAAGAAGAGAGTAGCATATAGTGTGCACAACATCTAGATAGATGGTGGGTTGAGCATTACATCGCACAAGAGCACGGAACATAGAATAAGGTGGACATACCTGAAGCCTTGAACCCATGATTAGGATTGCACTCGCACCATCGTATGGAAAAGGCATCTAGAACTCGATCAACCTGCTGTGTCTCTCCCTTTAATATTAGTCGGGTACATAGACTCCGGAGTGCTGCCAAAATATTCATATTAGACCAATCAAAAAACTCCATGTATGACTTGCGAATCGTAGCGCGGTCCGGGTCACCGAGCCATGCAGCAGCTGGCTCATTTCCCACAACTTGATCCTGATTGTTGTAGAGCTTTTGAGCCTGTTCTTTTTCCGGATCTCCTGGTTGACCCCCCGGGACGTCATCAGTGCAATCAGCGTTGCTTTCCGATATCTCAACGGACTTTGATTCCACCGGCGAAACCACAGGTGTGCTGGAAGCTGTGTAATAATTTGAGATATTTGATGTCGATACCTTCAATGAGCCACTGGTATCTACTGGAGGAGACTTCTGGATGTATTCATCTTCGCGGTCGTAAAGCCTGGGTCCGCTCTGATGCTTAACTTCTTCCGATTCCCCTGGATTGATCGTACATGTTTCCTTGGGACGTTCTAAGGGCGACACGCTCAAACGCTCAACGACAGGTGATAGTGACGGAACACTGAGGTCTTGTGGTGTCAACCTGTTCCGGACACCGCCTGTGCGATCACTCTCTGAGTCTGGCCCACTGTCGCGTGAGCCGATGCCATCCCTGGGAGCCAGCTGTTCTGGCCTGGCTGAAGATGTAGAATCCATGTGATTGACTTTGGGAATATCCTCGTCTCCGATCTTGCTTCCCGGGATCGGTGTATCACGTGCACTGGAGGAAGCGGCGGGGTAAAGGCTGTATTTGGGTCTCGGCCCTCTACCTGCAGCATGAAAACTTTCCTTTGGTTTCTCTGCAGGTGAATCAACTCCTTTGTTTTCCTGTTTACCTGGACCTATGTTTCGGCTATGGGATTCTGTGGAATGGAGCAGCCCTGGAGCGCTAGCGTCTGCGAGATAAGGATTCATCACCTTCCTTAAACTACTCACGGGGCTAGGCTGTGGCTTCGTGATTTCATGCGGCCTTGAGCCAGACTCCGGGGGGATTAGAACAGGAGGCGGAACGTTCTCAGTCACCGATCTCTTCCGTCGGCGGAAGAATGAAGATTTCTTGTTCACCACTTGATGGGTCCCTTGACGGACTGTGGTGGTACCTGCCGTGCTACTCTTCGATGGCTGTCGCCGGTCCTTGAGATTGACAGTGGAACCATTGAAATCCCGTATGTCGTTATCTTGGGAGAATACAAGATCAACCTGATTGTTTTCTGAGCCGGTTGTAGAGCTTTTGGATGATCCAAAGACGCGCCGGAAGAAGCCCGGACGTTCCTTGGTCGGAATTGGATCAGAGGGCGTCGGACAGATAGGTTTGTTGAATGAAATCGTAGGACTTGGGGCCGGCGGATCAAACGATGCTACCGGTATAGTCGGAGGGAGTTCCAAAACAGGCGCACTGAGTTGGGCCAAATCATTGTCACGGCCGCTCATGGCTGCAGTACCTTTCGTTCGTGCCGACTTCACACTGTTCCGTCGAGAAGCTACCGGTGTGCGCGATGACTGAGAACCCAAAGTTCCTGAACATTCATCTTGCGCTGAAATTTGATACTTCCTTGGTCCACCTGGAATACTCGGTGTAGGAGCTGCGTCAACTCCGTCGAATGATACCGGATCATAATCAGCTGCTGTCCCTGTAAACGGAATGATCGGTTGTTGAGTGCCGAAGTCAAAGCTTGCGGAACGTCGCTCAGTAGACAGGTCCGCCCGATGATTTCCTGAAAGGGGTGGGCCAAAATCCATGTGCAAAGAGGAGCTACCTTTACTACCTTGTCTAGTTCCGCGAACCCCAGAGGTACCACCTCCTGAGTTGGAGCGGTAATCGTATGTTTGGCCGCGCGAGCTTGGGCCTTCTGGGCTGCGGGCACTACCAAATCGTCTAAGGTTAGAATTGTAATTCGAGCCGTTAGTACTCCGACGAGCCCTCCCCGGTTGAGTCCCGTATCGACCAGCTGCATCATCAGGGTTGTAGTCTGGTTCTGATGATAGAGACGATGAAAAGGTATGCCCGCGATAACGACGTTGGGTCAGAGAATCTGGGGAACAACGGCCATACAGGTCTGACTCAAAAACGGAGTTGAACAGACGGTAGTCATCCAGTACGGAGGCATTTGAGGATGCAAACTGATCCAGCGACAGAAGCATATTATCAACGATAGAAGTGCGAGCGGCATGTTTAGGGGACAAAGATAAGTCATGGGGATCTCGCTCATCACTAGAGTCCATGCCGTTATTTGTGTTATCACTAACGTTGTGTTCGTCCAGAAAAGTTTCGCGCACTGGCGGGCGTGACTGGGTCATCCCCCTCGTAAGTTTGTAGTTGGATGCTGCAGAAGGCGTACTCGGGGGAGAATTACTGGCATGCATCTCGGAAAGTTGTTGAGACATTATTCTTGGACTGTCTGATCGCAGGAATAGGCTCAGTGAAGATAATGTAAAGCCTGCAGTTCTGGCGATAGTCGAGGTTGTGGAAGAGTTCTTCTAATGCGAAAACTGTAGGCAGATGTACCTTTATGGAATTGATTTCAAGTTATACAAAGTCACCGGCTCCTTGCGTCTTTATCTTTCGCCGTTTTCTTACGGGAATCTAATAGACTCGCTCTTGCTGGACTGAATGCTAAGCGGGCCGTATCCAAGGCAGAAAGGCAGAGGGTGGTATGTGTCATCTGTCGGTCATTGCGCAGGGATCGGCTGGAATGGACGACGGATGTTAAAGAACCGTGGTCGAAGAAAGCGTGTGACAGTCAATTGAGGATCGAGTAAAGCTATCGTGCGAATTGTTATAAGCTTGGGAAGCAACAAAGCCCGGTCAGTGTCATGTTGTACTTCAGTATCACCAGGCATAGGTAGGGCAACAAAAACATACTAGGAAGGGGAATGGAACCAAAGGACCAAAGGCAGGCGGGGATTATCAGGGTACCACAGGAACTGTGGGTATACTCGGAGTATGTTGAACCACTGTGGGGGGGGGGGGGATGTTTTTTGTCCCTTTCTGTTCAGTTCCTGAGAGAAGCAAAGTAGTTATGATAGAACTAGTGGTTGCCATCCGAGTGAATAGTGAAGGGGAAAAGGTTAAAGAACAGATGACGGACCACTTCATCCCCAAAGAAAAAAACGTGACAGGGGAGGGTGGGAAAGGTTTACCGGATATAATTCATGATCAATTCCCAAATCAAAAGAAAGACACTGAACGTGTCGTACTAGGCGGTACTAGTGCCGATGGTCAGGGGCAGCGGGAATCTTGGCCAGAACCACACACCTTCGACAGGATGCCCAGTAGGTGGTTGTACCATTAGTAGTTGTAGTATCTCAACGGGGCGAGAGAGAGGGAAGTTACTTCTCCGTCGATCTTAAAGTTTCAGATAAATGTTCTGTGTCCGAGCATCTGCATCGTTTCCAAGTAAATCCTCTCTCTCTTTTCTTTTCTTTTTTTTCGCTCTTTTTCCATCCGCGAATCCAATCTAATTAATTCCCCGGTCGGTTACACCACTACTAGTGCTCCGTAGTCAACTAATCATTATTTAGCTACCCCGTACTTATGTGCTAGGTACGCTAGCCATAATGGATAGCAGGTGCCCAAGACATTGAGTATTGATCAGTTATTAACTGGTTACCCAGGTCTCGGTTTTGCTTGAATACTGTGAAGCCAAATCCATTCAATCGTATGAGGTCCTCCATCCTGACCTGTTGCTGTGGTGTGGGCCACCACCTTGTGGATATAGTATTTTGCTCCGTACATTCCCTCAAGTCACTAGCAGAAATCACCGGTTCTTTGATCTCAACAATCTTGGTGCAAGATACGGAGAATGACTTGGAAAAGAACCTCTCCTCTGGCTAAAGAAAAGAAAGCAAGAGTAAGAAACACACACACACACAGGGAGGGAGAGGGAGAGAGATTCATTTAGGCCAATACTAGACTCAATAAACCTTGGATTGGCTACATCCCATATTTTCTGATTTCCCTTTAGTGGAGAACTGCTATGTACTGTACAAGTCAAATAGTGGATGTATTGTTTTACTGAAATAACCCGAAAGTATATAGATCTTAGTAGCTAGCCAATAAATGATTATTTGTTTGTCTAAATTGAACGAGAACCTAACAAATCTTCTGAGCATAAGACTGGTAGAAACTTTCATCGGAGATCAGCATAGGTTGAACACAACCTTGGTCAACATTATGGTTTTAGAAACCTGTTCATCCGCAGCCATGAGACGAGACCTGTCATTCAGACGGCCTTATTCTCTTATATCTGCATATGCATAGTATGTATATCAATATGAGAGTCATATTCACCAGTGATTAATAACCGTTCAATTATCAGTTGCAGTTGCAGCAAGATATCACGGGCCGCTAGTTGATCCGAAAGCACCAGCTGGCGGATGACATAACCTTTGAATGAGAGTATTACCCCGACTCCATACCTCGGAAGGGGTTCAGGAATCACCAATACTCATAAAATACATGCTATCCTGCCCTTCCTCAGGCTTTCTGTGTTCCAGGGCTTTCTCAACCTGTGCAAAAATGAATCCTCACATATCGGTTCCTCGCCAGCATGCCAGTCCGTCTAACTTCGGCGGCACGACACCTGCAAGCCGTGGATCTAGCATCCGAATGCCGCGTTTTTTCAAAAGGTGCGCTCTTTGAGGACTCCTGTGGGCTAGAAGATAATGTCAACACGGAGTATGATATTATGAGCCATTTGCGGTAGGCGATTACTGATCCGAACCTCATACTGGCCACAGGATGTTCAAGTTTCCACAGATGGACTTTGAAATGGCTATATGGGAGATGACATCACTGCTAATCGCTCCTAAGAAAGTTTTCAAATCCATCTACTACCATGTGAGTGTAGCCTTAATTGCTGGTCTTCTAAGTGCAGATGTGCTAATTATGTCTTATGGTAGAAACGTAGGTACCAACAACCCCAGAAGGCACATCCTGATTGATGAGACGACGGAAGAAGTGTGTACATTCACAGCAATAACACCATAATAACCTGTCGTTTTGTCTTCACAGAAACTAAGAATACTTGGCATCGGCCTGATCCCTCTTTCACATATCTACTTTCCTTCTTCTTGCTCCTCACAGCTCTCGCGTGGGGTCTCGCATATGCACCTTCTTTCGGGGCTATTGTCCGCCTGTCTCTGCTGTTCATCTTTCTCCATTTCATCGGGTCCTCACTGCTGGTGTCAACAATAGGGTATTTTGCCATCGGGCGACTTTTCGGTCCAGATGGAGCAGCATCTTCCCTCTCTGGGTTGCGAGGCGGACGTGGACGGAGACGTGGTGCAGCGCAAGGCTTGTTCGTGCAACCGGGCGAAAAGGATCAATTGGAATTTGGATATTGCTTTGATGTACATCTAGGATGATGCCAAGCAAGTATTTGAGCTGAGCTAACCATTATAATTAGGTATCTAACCGGGCATTCTTCCCCCTCTACCTTCACCTGTATGTCGTTCAGTTCCTTCTCCTGCCGCTTCTAACGCGCAGTCCGAGCAATTTCCTCGCCACATTCCTCGGGAACACGCTCTATCTTTCCGCCTTGGCCTATTACACATACATTACCTTCTTGGGGTACAATGCCCTTCCGTTCTTGCATAATACCGAGTTACTCTTGCTTCCAATCCTCGCGTTCGCGATTCTGTGGCTTGTGAGTTTAATTGCGGGATGGGGCATTGTAGCGCAAGGAGGTAGCGTGGAAGGGCTTTTCTGGGGTGCCTGATATCTGAAACCCCACCAATGCCCTTTGGCATTGGATGAACATTCAACTGTACCTCTAATCAAGCAAGGCGTTGGTGTATACGGTGACGTTCTCGATGACTTTCATATTCATGCTCATTTGTACCGTTTTGTTTGCTTTAAGGGATCTGAGCATAGGGATATATACTACCCTTTCCTATATATTGTGTTTATTGGAGAGAAAGCCTATTATTGTATAGTAGCTCTCGACACTGCATATATCGATGTGTGTTTAGGTTCCGGGTCTGGAGATTCAAGCCTAGAGAAACCCGCGCTGGCGATTATCTATTGAAATCGTATTGTTCGTTTCAATGCGAACAATCTATCTAGGTAGTTTGTGTACAGTACATATAATATCATCAGAGGCCAGTTAGCGCTACACCCAAACCATGTTTCTATCTAGCTTTGAATAAAACTATCCCATATTCCCCATCAAAGACTCAAGATCCAAGCCAAGGCGACCACTTATTTTTTCTTTGGACCACCTTTCTTCTTTACATTCAGCTTTGTCTCTATCTCTGCAGCCCGCTGCTTGGCTAGCTCTGCCTTCTCTTCTTTCTCAGCTTCCTTCCGTAACCTTTCTGCCTCTCGGCGCTCCCGAATGATAGCCAGACGAGCTAGATCTGCACGTGCCTCCTCTGTTTTACCCTCCGCGTGCAACTTAAGGTAGCGTTCACGTTCCTGCTGAGCCTCAATGGCTTCACGCTCTCTCCTGGACAACTGCGACATGTCTTTGTCCGGATTTGAGTCCTTTAATTGCGAGCGAGACTTGGCCGTGTGATTCGGATTTGAAGGCAACTCTTCATCCTCATCACTGTCCCTGCCAGATTCTGACTCCGGATCAGACGGTGGTAAATCGCCAGGCTGGACTTGATTCCGTTTCGCTATAGCAGCTTGCTTCTTGGCTTTGGCTGCTGCTCGGCGCTCCTCGCGGGTCATTTCTGGTGCTGCGGCAGAGCTGGATCCAGGTTTAGCGTCTTCCTTTGAAGATTCTTCTCCTGATTCGGACACTTCCTCTTCCTCATCGCCCCCATCCTCCTGTGAGGAAGATGCGGCATCGTCGTCTGGTTCCTGCTCCATTGTCGGACAACGTTAGGAATTCAGCTTCTAGCATAAATTGTGTCCATAACTCTGCCGTGGCTTAACGTACTCTCCATAGACCGACGGGATTACCGTGCTTGTCAACTGGTTGAACATCGCGACTAAAGTGTTTCCCACCTGATTTAAAGCATCCGTCAGCCTAACATTACTCTCTTAGCATATGGTTTGGGACGAATCCCAGATATTGCGCCTACCTCCTCGCGAAGGCTTGAAGAACTTTCCACGGCCACGAGGCGCCATGATGTGAGTGGTCAGGGTGAAAGGGGCCAGCCAGGATATTGAATACAATGTAAAGCACCAGAGTCTCTGGGATATATATTTAGATCCAAGGCAATATACCTTGAAGAAATTTCTGTGATAATACAACTGTCACTGACTCTGAAAGACAGAGCGGGGAACAACGGCTTATATGTATGTGCAGACAACAACTTATACCCAGAGACGCTTCCCAGAGTATAATCCTTCGCCAAATGAAACGAAAATACAGTGGCAATGAGATAAGCCACTCTATGCAAAGAAAAAGTTGAATCACAAGGTAAGCAACCGAGTGGTGAGGAAAAACAGAAGACAGGCAGTTGAGTCACGTAGAGGATTTCTATGGTAGGGCGGGGAATCAAATGATAAATCAATATCCTCAGGCATCAATAAATGTGACCCACACTGAGTGCTTCAATCAGCTGAGCACCAGCCATATTACCAATTCTAGTGCATTCACCTACAAATGAATCATCATCCATTGTGCACACTTGGTGGTTAATAGATAACTAGGTTATACATTATCAATCTATATACAATCAAAATTTACAAATCCGTTACACACCCCCCCATATATATACATATCTCTATATCTCATTTTATGGCGTCATTGACTTCCCTTACAGACACTGCGCATTTTCCAACAATCTCACGACCGTTGCCAGGAGAACCCCAGTTTGGCTACTCTTGCTGCAAACAAAGTCGCTGCACCAGCAACAACTGCACTGCCCATGAACATTTGAGCATACAGATACTGTCCCTCATTTAGTTGGATCAATGCCCCCGCGATCGGAGAGCCGATGAGAGCAGCGACAGCCACCACGCTCAGCACCATTCCCATCCTCACACCAGTCTTTTTCAGGTCTGTTGTGAAGGTACTCAGAGTTGCAGGAAATAGAGATTGGATACCAGCTGCAGCAAGACCATAAAAAGCGCTAAAGGCGTACATACCCCCCGGGCTGTTCACGGCAGCCCAAGAGTATGCAACCACCCCGGTAGCTAGGCTACAGGGGATTAGCAAGTTCAATGGCCCGGTATACCAGTCTGCCATGAGGTTCGGAATCAGCCGACCTAGAAGTCCAACACCATTCATAACTAGGAGTACATCGATCGAGGTTGACTGAGAGACATGGATGACATTGCCGGCAAAACTACCAATGTAGAAGAAACCGATATAGATACCCCAGAAGTTGAGGAACATACCGATGGCAAACAACGTATAGGAAGGTTCCTTGAAGGCAGCCCATTCAACGAGCGGACCACTTTGGCGCGGTGGCAACCTTTGCTTCAGAAAGAGCAAGCAAGGTGTCAGTGTGCCCAAAGAAATAAAGCCGAGAATTCGCATGGTCCATCCATATCCGATCTGAGGCAACAAACGCATAACGACGGCGGGAAACACCAAGCCCCCGGTTGCCGATCCAGATGCCACAATCCCCATGGCAATCGAGCGCCTTTTGGTGAAATACGTAGGTACGAGGGCAATGGTAGGGCAAAACATGAGACCACAGCCAATTCCTTGCCCGACGCCTTGGGCCAAGAACAACTGCCAGTACTTCGTAGACAAGGACGTCATAAAAATGCAAAACAATTCCAGCACCGCTCCCAACACCAAGGTGGCCTTGAAGTAGCCAGCATCGGTTGCACGACCAGAGAAAGTCCCAATAAAAAACAGCAAAAAGATTTGAATACTCCCTACCCAGGATATGTCAGATGGAGGATGCCCTAATGTTTCAGTATAGTAGGTCTGGAAAACGCCAAAGCTATTAATGTAGCCCCAAGTGTTGAAGATGACAAAGTGACCCAAGGCGACTTGAAACCAGGCCAGGAAACCACCGTCGGGTGGAGGCCCAATTTCCCTATTCGATTCTCTGGTGCGGACTAGGGACAACGTTTTTGAGGCCAACGCACCGGCGTTGCTGATGTTTGTGGGTGTCTTGGAGAGCTCTTTTGTCCAGCAGTGATCCACGTTTGATTCTCTGTCACCGGGAACCTTTCCAACGCCATTTGTAGTCTCATCTCGACGTATGTCATCTCTTCCGTTGATCGTGGGTTGAGGATAGCTAGTGCCATTGGGTGTTTTGTCCAGCATACTTGCTAGTTGGCAAATCAGAGAATGACTTAACAACGTATAGACTTGCGGTCGGCAAGTGTTTGATACGCCTCTGGGCTCTCGAGTAATTGAGCTGTTGTTTCACAAGGGAGACCTTGCCATTGATCGAGTTCTTTACAGACCGACACTCAAAATTTGTGCACATAGGGTTTGGAAGCAGATCTACCGACAACCCAGAGATATTATGTGACAAAAGTAGACGGGAAAAAGGCCGTGTTGTCATGCGCGGCTTGTTCGCCGAAGCCATTAGGAATAGGGCTCAGGGCCAGTGGGGAAAACCAATGACTTTTATCTGTCTAGCTTTCTCTTTAAGTTTCCTTTTTCTTTTTCCGGATCACAGCAACCTAGCGCTTTATGGAACCTGCCACCGGGGCTGATTAATACCGCCTCGCACAGAAGTCCGAGAAGCAGTCATTGAGATACCCTACTCCGGAGTAATGGCGGCACTCAGCCTACGGGGTAGACTACCGAGGGGGCGAAACAGGGCGATTGAGTGAAAACTTGACAAGGGCAGACGGTGTTGGCCCCAACTTTGTGTCATTAACTACACCGTACTCCGTACTTACTTACAGTGCTTTTTCTACTCCACAATTTCGTACATGCTACATAGTAGAATATTTGTTATATTAAAATGATATCACTGCCTTGCACGTGTTCAACTACCACTACAGTCTCTCGGTAGAGGTCTTACCCTTGAGTTTAGCAGAGCATTAACTTAATCCTGTTTTTATATGATTCTCGTCTCTGATCTATCTAATCTCTAACACATTATAAAACAGCAGCCGAGCAAATCCATCTATGACATATTATAAAAAGGACAGTGAAAAAAGCTAAGGGAGGCAATCAAACTCTGCGACTAACCGACGAAGGATATTGGGGGGGGGGGGGTGAGGAAACAAAAACTCCCACCTAGCCAGGTTGTGCTACAACTTCGCTAACGGATGTTCTCTAAATAACGACAATGCCAGAACCCCATCACCCTCTAATAGATGGTCACCGTCAAAAGAATTTGTCTCCTCTACGCCTGCAGAATATTATGATTGTTTGGATTAACGAACATCTATCGTCGATGTTCTGCCATGGAAAGCTGGCACTCATGTCGGACCTCAGGTCGCACCCAACGTCACAGACCAAAGAAAGTCTGCCGATATCAGTAGTCTTGACTGGAGCTATTGTTGAGCATTGTGATTGTCTCGATCACGTCAGCTGGCTCCAACAGATGCCAACTGGCAGAAGTCTGTTTCGAACTAGCACCAACGGTTACAGAATAGACGTGATCTTGTGGGAGGTCGAACTTTTGAAGGGCCCGAAACATATCTGAGACAGATTAGCTGTGATACCCATTAGCCGCGAAAAGCCAGACTAGACATACCCTCATCAGTAAAGTCGTCCCCCGAGCAAAAGATGAATTCAGGGGCCTGTCCAGGCCTAGTCCCGTATTCGTTGACTAGTCGGCTTGCGATGAACCCTTTGTTGACAAAAGTCGGGCGAACCTCCAAATTGGCCTTTCCCGCCATGACTTCCACGTCCCATCTTTTGCCTACAGTCTCCTCTAAATGTTTTCGGCACTCACGAGCCTGGAATGCACCATACTCAGGGTCTGCACGCCGATAATGCCATGTCAAAGCAACACGCTTCCTCTCAATGAAAGATCCTTGAGTTCGCTCAGTGTAGTGCTGGAATATCTCCATGACCTCCTTCTGCCATCCCATGTTCGATCGTTCAGCCAGATTCTCCCAGTCATCCGAGCGTGGCTTCCGGATGAAGCAACCATGTTCGGCACTCAATCCTAATTCAGGTATATGACCCATCCATTCATCGAGAAAGGCTTGATCGCGCCCACTGATGATCCATACTGCATTGCGGGAGTCCGCGGCTAGAGTTTTGATGGTCCGCAAGACGCGGTCGGATGGTATAGCAGCTTGTGGATCTTTGACAATTGGGGTAAGTGTACCATCATAGTCGAACATGAATAGCCTCTTCCGTGCCTTACGATATTGCTTTAATAACTTGGCTCGATCGAGGGCTGGAGTCGCCACAGATTGGTCAAACGAAGAAAGATTGGTCAGCAAACGAGAGAGATATTGTGTGGACCAAGCCGAGACAGTGTTTGTTGTGACATGCTTGTAGAGCTTCTGGTGGCTTGCCTTCCTATCCCCGAGGGACGTCGTCAAGGCCTGATTGATGGCCCCAGCTACGCCTGCCGTGTCCCATGGGTTGATATGGATCGCACTTGAGAGGGTCCCAGCAGTTCCGGAGAACTCGGAGAGGATCAAAGGACCGTAACTTTGCTGTTGGCAGATGATATACTCCAAACTAGTTGTGTTCATGCCATCTCGCACAGTGGTGATCAGACCGACATCAGCCACGCGCAGCAAGGCGAAATACTCATGCTGGGAGAGGTATTGCGGGTAATACTTGACAGGAGAGAAGCTCAGAGACCCAAAGCGGCCGTTTATGGTGGAAACAAGATTGGATATCTGACTTGCAATTTTGTTCTCCTCTTTTTCCTCTTCGACACTGGTGGGACTGGTCACCTGGATAAGTACCACCTTGTCACGCCATTCTGGATACCGCTCTAGGAACACTTCGAACGATTGCAACTTCTGGGCCACACCACGGACACTGTCCAACCGATCACGGCCGACAATGATCTTCTTCCCGGCGTAAAGCTTGCGTATCCCTGTTACAGCGTTCTCGATCTCAGAGGAACCGAAAGCAATATTCTGGATTGCCTTTGCATCGATGCCGATAGGGAAGACGTCCACAGCCACGTGAGCGCCATACGCATCCACGCCGGCAGAGTTGGAGTCAAATCCAAGCACCCGAGTGCAGCAGGATGAAAAATGGCGAGAATATGAGAAAGTCTGAAAACCAATCATGTTCGCACCCAATACTCCAGTAAGCACCTCCTTGCGCTTAGCTAGACAGCGCATAAACTCGCTACTGGGGAATGGGGCATGTAGGAAGAAGCCGATGTAGATGTTTGGGATCCGCTGCCTCAACATACTGGGCAAAAGGAAAAGATGGTAGTCATGGATCCAAACAATATCGCCTTCCTGATATTCTTTCAGAATCCGGTCTGCAAATAACCGATTCATGCGTACGTAATCTGCCCACCAGTTGCGCTCAGATCGGCCATCTGTGGGGCCATGTTGCTTGTAGTGCAGGAGAGGATACAGCTCCCTTTCTGCGTATCGCCTCCATCTACCTTGATCCTCCAAGGAGATCGTATCCTCCGGGGGTTCTGTCTCGGCCGATAGCCACACGGGGACAATTTTACCGTAGCGCCCAGAGCTTAACTGCTCATCTAGCCGATTTCGATCGTCCTGACTAACTGCGAAACCATCCAGGAGAGGATGGCTAGGTGGCCGTTGATCGGCGTCCACAGGAACAGGAGCTGCCGCCTTGTTGAGGGGCTTTGCTGTACCATTAGCCGCGGCTGGCAGCTTGGCACTGGTATTTATGGGGATTTGCTGCAAAGGTACAGTGTCCTCCGGGACTGGTTCTACTTCGCCGGTCCAGCCAACGAGCGTATGAGACCAATTAGTATCCTCGGAACCTAGATATGCCAAAGAATCAAATAGTGCCGAGGTTCCCGGACGGGGTTTAAGTTCCTGTTAAGTGATTAATCTACCTGAAGGATTCTGCTAGGCCATAACATGGAAATGAGGGTACTACTGAATAGATAAACGGGGAATACACACCCAATAAGATCCCCGCCGATAGTAAACTTTGTATGGGATACAGAAGGCGGCGCTGATAATTCGCCCAGAGAGACGCAAACCTGGGTGTTGTTGACGTAGATCTGCCTCCAGCACTTTGGGTGTCTCCCTTAGACTCAAACGACGCAAGAGTTCGATCCTCGACCTCGCATCCTTGGCCGCCTGGGCAGGAGTGGTAGGGGTGGCATTTGACGACTCCGAAAACGCCTTTTCCCCAGGAGCTTCAGCGAAGTATGAAGGCGTATCAGTAGTTAAAGATTTGGTTTTCTCCCCACCCGGAATAGGGGTGGCAGTTGAAGCCTTGGTGTAAGCCTCTTCACCTAGAACTTTGAGGCCCGGGCCAACTAGAACCGGGTCAGGCTGGTCACGGGGTATCTTTGCAGGAGTCGTTTTTTGATTGGAGGACATCCTCAGATATAGATAAAACAAGTAGTGATGTAAGGGGTAAAGGCGGATGACAGCGCGGCGAGGAACTAATCAGCTACTCGATCTGAAGTTTCCAAGACTAGTCAGAGAAACGACATTGTCTTCGAACTTCGGTGTACGAGATCGATGACCAACAAGAGGGGTGTGGGCAGATTGTAGGACGTTCAGAGTCGCAAGTACCTCGGAGAAATGGAATGGGAGAGATAGATAATGTTAGTTTGGTGGGGGAGAGGGGGGACCGCGAGCTATGCCCTGGACGGCAAAACGAAAATCATTGAACTGCTGGGGGCGTGGGAGAGTTAGAACAGCGTAAATAAGGAATTGTTGCTGAATAAGTGGTGAAGGGTTTCCTTCACTCTTTCTCTCTCTCTCTTTTTATTCTTCAACAAGAGGGAAAGAGTGAGGGAAGGAGGAGCGGTTTGGGAGAGAGAGAATGGGCACTAACGGAGGGTTGCGGGCAAGTTTGTAAACTGAGGGGTGGACCGTTTAGAAGTCACAGGCGGTGAAGACCTGAAGAACGTGGTTTCAATCGCCTCGCTCGGCTTTGGCTGCTTAATATACTCAAGCAATAGGAAGAGCTGGATGGTTCACGAGCTAGGGAGGAGAGACATGAGGGATATACTAGTAAGGTAGAACGGGAGAGAAGGAGATAGAGAAAGAGGGAAGACCAAAGCAAGGCCGGTGTTGGGCCACACGCCCCCCTCCCCCCAAAAACGGACTGTTCCAGGCCGGTGACTTGGAGGGAAAAAGAAAACATATACGGAGTACCTACCTACTTTAATAATCTTAGTTATCTCGGGAACAATTATAGTATCATGGTACTATAAG